AAAAAAACACCAGAGAAGAAAACTTCTAAAGGAATCTCTATAAAAATAAACATTTAGTGAATCCATGCATGATGTTATCAATGAACCTTGTCACTTGCCTATGTCACAAGATGACACCTTGACAGTGGTCTAAGTTCAAAGCGTGGACCTCCTAGCAAACATCCTTCCCCCACCGGAGACCCCCTTTGCCCACCTGCACTGCCTCGGCCGCTTAGAAGATCATTCTCCCTGAATGTAGTTCTTTCTCAGAGCCTAGCACAGTGGCAAGCACACACAAGGCACTTAATAAATATTCGTGAATTCGTTAATCAGCCAGTGTTCCCACATCTCCGAGGTGTCTCTTCCACCTCGCCTAACAGCCAGCAGGAGAAAGTTAATTTCCTCTTAAAGAGCCTCTAGAACGTTCTGCTCAAACCTTCGAGATGCCTCTTTGGCTTGACTTGCAAACTGGGTGTTTCCCCACAGAGGGGTGCTCTCTGGAGCTTTTTCTACAAGTGCTCAGATTAAATCGACAACAACGAAGGAGAAATCAGAGTGTAAGTAAATCATAAAGAAACTCTCATTGTTCTCTGCTACCAAATATATTCAAACAAAACCAAAAACCTCCAGCACCATCCTTTTTTCTTTCTTTTTTTTTTGCATTCCTTAAAATGTGGGCATCGGTGTTCCACAAAGGTGTCAATTCCAGCATCTCAGACTAGGTTCAGGGTCGGGGGGTGGGGGAAGGTTGTTATTAGAGAGTCTTGGGAGTTTAGAGGGTTATAACACCAGAGCCAGGCTTCGGGGCTTAAAAGACCCCTCTGTCTCTAGGAGAATCAGAAATCACCTTCATACAATTTTGAGAAAATAATGGTCATGGGCATCTCTTTGCCAACCCGCGCATAGACCACTCACCAAAAGGAATTCACAACCCAGTTCAACTCCAAAAGCATCTCATCGGGCATCTATGCAGAATCAGACTCCGTGCCAGGCAGTGGGGGTCAGAAACGAGTGAGCAGTTGTCCAGGAGGGAGGCATGAATGAATAGCTGGAACGGGACACACGAGTGTGCCTTCTGGGATACTCGGCACTTCATCTACCAGACTTCAAAACGACAATGATTTCCCTTTTGTCTCCGAATGTGTGAAAAAGAAAAAGAAAAAAGAAAAATTAATTATAAGCAGTGATCGAGCTCTGAAATTCCTAGGGGAAGTCATTTTATTTCAAACATGATCCAGATGAGAACTTGTAGGAAAGCAAAAGGGGTTCTTGCCTTCCTCCCTGTTTGAGAACGAGGGGCAAAACATAATGCAGGGTCCTGGGGCAGAGAGAGCAGCGCATGCAGTCAAGTGGGAGGGCTGGTGCCTACTCCAGAGGCTCCGTCAGTGCCGAGCGGCGCACACACTGCCGAAAGCCAGCAGGTCTGCCCCCGGACCTCGAAGGATACACGCAACCTCCTGGCACAGCCAAAACAGAGCACCTGGGCCAGGGAGTGGGTGCAGGACCAAGGGGAGGTCTTGTCTGCAGACGAGACCTCCCCTTGGCCAATCTGAGAAAGACTAGGTGATACATTTATCAGTTGCGGACATCAG